GGGGGGGGGGTCCGGGGCAGGCTGGGGAGCTCCAGGCCTGGGGACCGGGCGGGCGCGCTGCGCCGCGGAACGCTCGACCTGGGCGGGCGGGCGGGCAGCCCGGGCGCCTTTGGGGGCCGGACCGTCGCGCGGCAACGTGCGGCGCCGGCGGAAGTGGTGCCCGGGTCCCCGCGGCGGGGCTGGGGGCGCAGGCGCCGTCATCTGCCCGGGCCCGCCCAGCGGGGTTCAGCCCCTTCCGGACCCCCCGGCTCGAGCGCGCGGCCCCCGGAGCAGCGGGTGAGCAGGGCGGTGGGAGGGCGCGGCGGGACCTCGGGCAGCGCCCCTGCGGCTCCGGGCCCGGGCTGGGGGCCGCCGGCTCCTCCTCCCCCGGGAAGTGGGGCGGCCCCTGCGCCTCCGACCCGCGCCGACCCGGGCCCCCGCAGACCTTGGGCGGGGGCGGGCGGGGGCCGGGCCGGGCCCTGGGCCCGTCGCAGTTGTCCCGGGTCGCAGGAAAGGGCGACAGAAGGAATCACAGGCTCGCCCCCGATGGGAGGGGCAAGCTCGGCCTAAGGGAGGCAAGCACGCTTTTTGGGGGGTTTCCTGAGACGGGGTCTCACCACGTTGCCCAGGCTGAACGCCTGTTTGGTTTTCGTTGAGACAGTCTCGCCCTGTCGCCCAGGCTGGAGGGCAGTGGCGCCATCTCGGCTCCCTGCACGCTCCGCCTCGGGGTTCAAGCAGGTCTCTGCCTCAGCCTCCGGAGTAGCTGGGGTTACAGGCACCCGCCACCACGCCCGGATAATGTTTTGTATTTTTAGTAGCGACGAGGTTTCACCATGTTGGCCAGGCTGGTCTCGAACCCCTGACTTCGGGGTCCGCCCGCCTCGGCCTCCCGAGGTGGCATGACAGGCGTGAGCCACTGCGCCCGGCCTATGTATTCGTTTTGAGAGGGAGTCTTGCCCCGTCACTCAGGCTGGAGTGCAGTGGTGTGATCCCGGCCCACTGCAACCTCTGCCTCCCGGGTTCAAGCGATTCTCCTGCTTCAGCCTCCCGAGTAGCTGGGACCTGTAGCCTGCCACCACACCCGGCTAAGCTTTGTATTTTCAGTTGAAACGGGGTTTCACCCCCATCCTGGCTGGTCTGGAACGCCTGACCTCAGTTGATTCGCCCGCCTTGGCCTCCCAGAGTGCTGGGATTACAGGCGTGAGCCACCGCGCCAGGATCATGGTTATTTTTTTCAAACAAGGGGCTGGGAAACGCAAATTCTCCTGAGCGCTTGTGGAGCAGTGGCAGAGAGGGGCGGCTCAGTCAGAGATGGCCCTGGCCTGTCCTCACTGGGCTGAGGTCCCGCCATTCCCGCATTCAGGGGAAGAGAGGAAAGTCTTACTACTTTCTGTGGTCGAGTTTTGACCCTAAGCTTTGTGGGGAGGAGTGTCCTGGGGCCCTCGCTACCTGCCTGCTCTGGGAACGGTTTCACAAGAGCACTCAGGATCCTTCTTAGCAGAGGAAGCTTTTCTGGCTAGCCTGGCGCCCTTTATTGTTGGTTTTTTTTTTTTTAGTGTCAGTCTTTAAAGATGCTCACATTGCCTGAGCTTCTGCGCCCTTCCTCGGGTTCCGCACCTCCTCTGCTATTGATTGCTGCTCTTTCATCTTCCTCTGGTTGTGTGATCCCGGCAGCCGCTAGCGCAGGCTTCTTTGTGCAGCCGTCCCTCCCAGAGGGTGAGGTGGGAGTGCGATGGGCGTTTGCCCCGTAGTAGGTTCAGTTCTCTCTCACTGCCCTCCCAGCTCCTTCAGCAGACACAAGGAGCTGCTGCTTTTTTTTCTTAAGGTAAAGTTTGTAGATAAAGCACAAAGAATACAGACAAAGAAAGCGCCGGTATCGTGAGCACATGTGTAAGTCGGTGAATTTACCCAAAGTGAGCCCAATGCAGAACCTGCTCCCCCCGTACATCTGTTTACTGTTAGGCTGATTGTGTTTCTTCTCTGACTATATCTGAGGGCAGTTTTCCTTAGTTCCTGTCAAAGCTGTTTCCCAGCAGGGCGTGATGGGTCCCTGGGCTGAGCTGGTGTGTCCTGGCTGGCTGATGCTGAAAGGTGGGCTGTGCTGGGTGGTCCCCGCTGGTGGTCCCTCAGCCAGAAGTGCTGGCCCCTCACGGGCAGAGCTGCTCTCATGACGAGCTTGGTGCCCACATCATGTGGCCTCTAGGCATGTACCTGCCGCCTGCTCTCTCCGGCCACTGAGGAAGTGGGCATCTGGGGGTCTCTGCAGCCAGACCCAGAGGAGTCCTTTCCTGTTAGAACCTTCTGCCTCGAGTGGCCAGCCCCTCCAGCCCCTGGTTCGGGCTGCCTGCGGGGGTGGAGAGCAGCTGCGCTGGCCTCTTAAGCCCCGGGCATTTCTGTGAGGCCTCTTCCACAGCTCCTCCAAGCTTCAGGAGAGGACTTCCCAGTCACTCCACCCCAGTGTGTGTGTCCTGCTCTGTTCCCTCGTCCCTTAAGGGCGTGGTGGGTACTGGGACCTACAGTCCAGGCTCAGGCCAAGCTGTGTCCCTCCCTTGGGCGTGAGGGGTCTCTGCTCAGGTGGGACGCCCCATCCTCTGTGCAGGCGAGATGGGGCTTTCCAAGTCTGAGGAAGACTCGCGGCCCACCAGCTGGCCAGCAGCACCACCACTGCAGCAAGGTCCTCCTGCCCTGTGGGGCCCTGGCGGGGAGGGCTTCCGTGGAGAAGGAGGAAACCCCAGCTGGCTTCGAGCCTTGGCAGGGGCCTGAGAACTGCAGTGTCTCGGGTGGCTACCTACTCAGAGGCCACCCCAAAGGCTGCCGTGTCCAGCCTGAGGGCACAGGACCTGTGAGCCTCTATCCCTGTCTCTAGGCAGCCACATGGTTGGAGAAACAGATCCTGGGAGGGAAAGTGCTCCGCTGGGGGAGGCCTGCTCTGGAGTGGCTGTGGGCATGTCAGGGAGTACCAGGCACTGCCCAGGCGCCACAGTGAGGTCAGAGTGGAGGCCGAAGCCTGTGTGCACCGAGCCTGCTCCCTTCCTGCCACCACGGAGGGGCTCGTGGGAGGCAGGGACCCTGTGGGGCGCTGCCCGTCGTGTGCACGAGGGCTGTTTCTTCACCCAGCAGCGCTTTGTCTTACATTTTTATCTTCCTTCTTGCTAGTTTAATAAGTAAATCACGGCTTGTCAAGATTTTAATTTGTGTGACCTTGTTAATGAGACTGTGTTTTTCCGTGTGTTACACCTTTAAGAACACCTCTTTAATCAGGTTTCTTAAAAACAAATTAGAAGCCTGGAGTTCTGTTCAGCCCCACACCTCGGTCAGGTGGTGCTGAGGAGGCTGGTGCCCTGAGCCGGCCTGTCTGGAAGTGGAGAGAACAGCCCTGGGGGGTGCCGCGTGCGGCCGGGGGGTGCTGGGCCTGGGGGTACTGGGCCTGGGGTGGAGGTGGGGGCTGTGCTCCAGCTGCCCCTTGGAGGAGCGTGGCCCACGTGAGGTGTCAGCCAAGGGATGCTGTGGCCTCCACCCCGGAACTGGAAGCCCTGTGGCCGAGCCTGGCAGGCCGTCCACCTGTGTCACAGCCTCGGTGGCAGGGCAGGGCGGCAGCAGCTGGAGCTGAGCTCTCCCTCTCTTCCAGCCTCCCAGCATGGTGCTCAAGGCCTTCTTCCCCACGTGCTGCGCCTCCGCCGACAGCGGGCTGCTGGTGGGCCGGTGGGTGCCGGAGCAGAGCTGTGCCGTGGTCCTGGCGGTGGTGCACTTTCCCTTCATCCCCATCCAGGTCAAGCAGCTCCTGGCCCAGGTGCAGCAGGCCAGCCAGGTGGGGGTGGCCGTGCTGGGCACCTGGTGCTGCTGCCGGCAGGAGCCCGAGGAGAGCCTGGGCCGCTTCCTGGAGGGCCTGGCTGCTGTCTTCCCCCACGAGCCCTGGCTGCGGCTGTGCCGGGAGAGAGGCGGCACGTTTTGGAGCTGCGAGGCTACCCGCCGGCAGGGCCCCGGTGCGTCCAGTGAGGACCAGGTCACGCTCATCTTCTATGACCAGCGCCAGGTGCTCCTGTCCCAGCTGCACCCGCCTGCTGTCCTGCCCGACCGCCAGGTGGGAGCCGACCCCACCGGCACAGGGGGCTTGGCCGCCGTCTTCCACACGGTGGCGTGCAGCGAGGCGCTCTTCCGCAGCGACCGGTTCGACGAGGGCCCCGTGCGGCTGAGCCACTGGCAGTCGGAGGGCGTGGAGGCCAGCATCCTTGCCGAGCTGGCCAAGCGGGCCTCGGGGCCGGTCTGCCTGCTGCTGGCCAGCCTGCTGTCACTGGTCTCTGCTGTCGGCGCCTGCCGGTAGGTGTCCCGGAACGGAGAGGTGGCATACAGTGGGGCCACGTGAGCGCTGGCGAATCCCTCTGTCTCTAGTGGACATGGAGGCCCAGGCAGGCTTTACCCAGGCCCAGCCCCCTCCCCGCTTCCCGAAGCCTGGGCCTGGCCCCATCGTGCCCTCCCAGCCCTTGCCTCTCAGAGGGTGTCTGGTGGTGGCTGTGGCTTCTGTCCTTCACCCCGGGTAGGGCCGGGTCTCCTGGCAGCCTCAGGGATTGCGGGGGCCCTCCCAGGAGGCATGGAGGGTGAACTTCAGTGGTTCAGGTCCCTGAAAGAGAAATCAGACGGTGAGCACAGACGAGAATGCATAACTGCTGCCCAGGGGCGCTCCTGAGGGCACACAGGCCTGCTGGCCTCTGTAGCTCTGGGCTGTCATCGGCTTGCCGGCCCCATGTGCCTGGGGGAGGGTCTGCAGGCCCTGCAGCTCTCCACATTCACAGGTGCTGCTGGCCAAGGGTCAGTGTAAGCCCAAGGGCAGCCCCCAGCTGTGGCTGAGAACACAGGGAACCCTTCAACAGGAGACATCTGCCTGGTGGAGGCACCCTGTGGGGACTGGCTGTGGGTCACTCTCAGTTGCCCAGGCCTTAGATCCAGCTTACTCTGGAAGCCTGGGGTGCTCTACCTTGTGAGAAGCCAGGCCGGCCCAGGAGACCCCTGCCCAGCCTTCTGGGCCCCGTCAGCCGGGCAAGGCCCTGGGCAGGTGGGGGCTACTGCTGGCTGCAGGCGCTGGCTTTGGGAGCCTGTGGTGGCCAGGTGGCCTGGGGTCAGCGCCTTGCGAGGAGGCCAGGCTCTGTGTTAGCCGCGTGCACTGTGTGGTGGGTGCTTTGAGTACTGCCGGTCACCCCCTGGCTCCCCTCGCTGGGCCGCCGAGGGCCCCACCTACCCGCCCCCGCCCTGCTGAGCTTGGAGTGTGGTCTGGGTGTTTGTGGTTGTCTGCACAGTGGGGACCATCCCTCCTCTCCGCTCCTGTGCAGAGTGTTCCAGCTGCGGCCCCTGTCCTTCCTCGGGAGCAAGCTTTCCACCTGTGAACAGCTCCGGCACCGGCTGGAGCACCTCAGGCTCATCTTCAGCACGAAGAAGGCAGAGAACCCTGCCCAGCTGATGAGGTGCGGGCCTGCCCTGGTCTCTTCTGCGGGGCCGGGAGCCCGCCCTCCGGCCCCTTCCCCTTCTCCCTCTGGCCAGGCAGACCTCCTTCTGTGGCCCAGGCTGTGCCAGCCGCCCTCACACCCACCCGGACCTCCCTTCCAGGAAGGCCAACACGGTGGCTTCTGTGCTGCTGGACGTGGCCCTGGGCCTCCTGCTGCTGTCCTGGCTCCATGGGAGGAGCCGCATTGGGCATCTGGCGGACACCCTCATTCCTGTGGCTGACGTGAGTGGACTGGGGTGGAGCCCCGTGTCCTGGGTGGGTGTGGGGACCCTTGCCGGACCAGAGCTGCCCCCACGCCAGAGCCAGCTCCACCCTCTGCATGCTCTGAGACCTGGCCCTCCCCTAGACCAGGAGTGGGAGCTGCAAGGGCACTGGGACTGGGCAGGCAGGCCTTGCCGGTGCCCCCTTTCCTTCTGAAGGGGCTGTGTGCGGGAGCCGCTGTGGCTGAGGCCCTGGGCATCCCGCCTCTCCCTGTGGGCCCGCGTCGTGGTGTCTCTTTGCGGTCAGCACTCCCCGACCCTCTGGGGTCATGAAACTTTCCCTGTTCAGAGCTGCCCGGGTGCAGCCCCGCTGGGACTTGCTGCCCAGTGTTGACTGTAGTGCCAGGGGCTCAGCTTGTCTCCCGTCTTCCATCTTCTCCCACCTTCCCCTGACGGTCTGTGCCATGAGTCCGGCCAGGTGCCGCCCCTCCTTGGCAGACCTAGCACATTTCTGGCTGCCTGTGGGCCTTCAGCTTCTGTCTCCCTCCCTCAGAGCCAGGGCCTCTCTCTTCCCTTAGGAGCTTGTCTTCCTGCTGGGCATAGTCCTGGCTCTTTGGCCCACCCTGGGCCTTCACAGAGCCCTCCCTGCCGTCTGGCTGGGTGTGTCTTGTGTAGGCTGCAGGTGCGGACTCGGCCTGCTGTGGCCAGGCCAGGCCCCCGGGGGCAGCAGCAGGCACCTGTGTCTGACGTGGGCTGTAGGGGTGCAGGGAGCCCCAGCCCAGGAGGGAGGGGTGGGTGGCTTTGCCTGTGCTCCCCCACACCCCGCCCTGGCCTGCTTTGTCCTAGACCGCCCTTTTGCAAAAGAGCTTAGAGATATAAATATTTAATTCAAAAATGAAAGTCTCTTCCTGCTGCCGAGCTCTTAGCTTTTAAATATTAAGTAAGCTCTATTTATAAAGAATGTTCTTTTCTGCTTCCTGCCAGTCCTGCTGTGGCTGAGCCTTGGCCCAGCCTTGGAAGGGGCTTGCCACTGGGCAGGTGGGGGCCGAAGTGTCACTGTGGTCTGGGTGGGGAGGCTGAGGCTTCCTCGGGGTCTGCCTCCCGGGGCCGACACAGCCTCTGGATGCTGGCTGTCTTCCTGGGCAGCCAGGACCCCGCTTCCCTGCTTGTTCTTGGGGGTGCCTCAGCCTCCCGAGTAGCTGGGGTTACAGGGTCTCTGGGGCCCTCCGGAGTCAGGGCCATGGAAGCTTCCTGTCCAGGGCTGCCTGTCAGTCAGCTCGAACTTCCCACCCTGCCCTGTGGATTCTGTAACTCCTGTGCTTGGGTTGCAGAGGGTCTCTGTCATCCCTCTGGGGACCTGCCCTCCAGCCCTGCTGCCAGGGCCCTGACGGGCTTGGCACTGTCTCACTCACCTGTGGCCAGCCAGGGCAGGCCCGAGCCTCTGTGTTGGGGTGCGGTCTCTGGAGGGGATGGTGTCAGCCACGGACTCCCCTGCAGGGCTGGAGCTGAGTCAGGGTCTGTCGGGCCTCCGTGCGTCCAGGTGTTTGGGGCCAAGGGCTGTGGTGGGTCCTGTGGCCCAGGTGGCTGCATGCAGGGGACCGTGTGCCATAGGCCAGGGCCAAAATGTCACCTCCCAGGCCGTGTCACCCACACCTGCAGAGAGAACCCTCCAGACCAGGCTCTTCAGACCCCAGAGTCCTCCGTGAAGGGGATACCATGGCTGGATGCACTTGGGAAACCTGTGTGCTGTCCACGCTGGGACGCAGCGGCCCAGGCCCTCGGAGGACGCACACCTGGGCTTCCCGTGCCCTGCCGAGCCAGGCTGGCCAGGGTGGGGGCCGTTACAAAAGGGCCAGGGGAGATGTCAGTGCTGACCCTGGCTGCCCGGTCCCAGCGTGTCCCCCGTGTCCCTGCAGCACGTGGCCGAGGAGCTCCAGCACCTGCTGCAGTGGCTGATGGGCGCCCCTGCCGGGCTCAAGATGAACCGTGCACTGGACCAGGTGCTGGGCCGCTTCTTCCTCTACCACATCCACCTGTGGATCAGTGAGTGCAGGCAGGCAGGCGGCCCTTGCTGGAGGGCGGGGCCCAGCCAGACCCCACCCCCTGCACCCCCTGCACCTCCAGCTCTGCCCCCCAGCGTCCTGTGTGTCTGGCCCGCTGTGGTAGGCCGAGGGCTGGGGCCCAGGCACCTCCTGAGGGCCCACCCACCTTGCCAGGCTACATCCACCTCATGTCCCCATTCGTGGAGCACATCCTGTGGCACGTGGGTCTCTCGGCCTGCCTGGGCCTGACGGTGGCCCTGTCCCTCCTCGCCGACATCGTTGCCCTCCTCACCTTCCACATCTACTGCTTCTACGTCTATGGAGCCAGGTGGGCGTGGGCTTACCCCTTCCCCGGGATGCAGAGGTTGGGGGCGTGCGGCCGTCCTGACAGCGGTGCATCTGGCAGGCTGTACCGCCTGAAGATCCACGGCCTGTCCTCGCTCTGGCGTCTGTTCCGGGGGAAGAAGTGGAACGCTCTGCGCCGGCGCGTGGACTCCTGTTCCTATGACCTGGACCAGGTATGCGGCTGACTGCCACCCAGCCAGCGCAGCTGCATGGGCACCACAGGGGGGCAGCCTGCTCCCGTCCTGCAGTGCGGGCCCTGGGAAGAGGTGCCCAGTGTGTGGTGTGGGCTGTGCGGGGGGCTCTGAAGCAGTGCAGAGCTTCCTGGGGCACTGGGTCCCAGACGCAGACCCCTGAGGGTGATGCAGCCACAGGGCCTAGAGGTGCCCAGGCACAGAGACGGGGGGCGGCCCGGGCTCAGAGGCTGGCTCTGGCTGTCCCATCTGCTGCTCTCAACTGACACCGCCCCTGGATGCTGGCATCTAGGGTGTGTTCTTGGTGACACTCTGTGGCCACGCACTCTCTCGGCTGGTCTGGCCCCCACCCACCTCCCCTGCGAGTCCCCTAGTCCGTGGGGTGTGGACAGACACAGCCTTCCTGCTACTGGGACTGCTGGGCAGGCCGTCCCAAGTTCTCTCAAGCCGCAGGGTCCCGACTGCAGCTCCGGGATGGGGAGGGCACAGTGCCGGGCCGTCTCTGGGCCTGGGGTCCTGCTAACGCCCAGCGTGCCTGCCCCCCCACAGCTGTTCATCGGGACTCTGCTCTTCACCATCCTGCTCTTCCTCCTGCCCACCACGGCCCTGTACTACCTGGTGTTCACCCTGGTGAGCTGTGGCACAGCCGCCGGTCCTGGACGCAGTGCTCTGTGGCTCCTGCCAGTGCCGGCTGGGAGCAGTCAGCTGTGGGGTGGGCGGTCCCCCTGCAGGCCGCGTGGGTGGCTGTTCAGGACCCTCTGGGCAGTGTGTGCTGGGCCCTAGCTTGGCCAGGAAGACCCCCTCACTGCCCTGGGACACGCCGCTGGGTGCTTGGTGGGAGGACCCACGGCAGGTGGGGTCATGCAGGCAGCCCCCTCCCCGGTGCCTGGCGCTGGGGTGGACAGCAGGAGGCAAGTGGAACCCAGGCGGCCCAGGCCTCGATCCCCTCTGCGTGTGAGGCTGTGGGAGGCACCTCTGACTTGTGGGAGGGCTGACGGCTTGCCCTCCGGTTCTGCTCCAGGGTGACGCCCCACAGCAGGCTCTGTGCCCTGCTCTGGGTGGGGTCCATGCTCTCCCCAGGCCCTGCAGCGTGTGGTCCCTGTTGATTGTGGCTCAGGATGGGGTCGGGCTGCTCTGCTCTCAGGCGCATCTGGCCGGGCTAGGCGGGTGGCCCTAAATGTCCCTCTGCCACAGCTCCGGCTCCTGGTGGTCGCCGTGCAGGGCCTGATCCATCTTCTCGTGGACCTCATCAATTCCCTGCCGCTGTACTCGCTCGGTCTTCGGCTCTGCCGGCCCTACAGGCTGGCGGGTAAGTGCTGCATACTGGGCAGCTGGCCCTGGGCGGATGGATGGGAACCACACCTGTGGGCCCCACAGAAGCAGGGACTGCACAGGCCCCTGTGCCTCTGGCCTGGAGCTGTGGTGTGCGTGAGCGTGTGGGTGACAAGGAAGGGCCTCCCCGTCCCAAAGGTCTGCAGGACCAGCTGTCTCCAGTGAGGTGGAGGGAGAGACCCACCTGCCACACAGGCTCAGAAACGCAGCTGCCTGAGGTCAAGGCCTCCCTCTGTTCTGCTGGGAGTCCCTGGGCTCGGGAGGCTAACTGCAGGCCAGGGGTGTGGACGGCCCCGAGTCAGCCAAGCATACCGAAGTCAGAAGGCACGGAGAGCCAGAGGGCGGCCGCCCCCCAGCAAGTGCCTGTGCACTCAGCAGCACAGCCTGCCCCTCACTGGGCTCTTCCCTGCTTGCCGGACACTCGGCTTCTGTCTTTCAGTGGAGCTCTGCGGGCAGCCTTTGTATTTTTTTTGAGACGGAGTCACTCTGAGTGTCTCCCAGGCTAGAGTGCGGTGATGTGATCTCGGCTCACTGCAACCTCTGCCTCCCTGATTCAAGCGATTCTCCTGCCTCAGCCTCCCAAGTAGCTGTTATGACAGGCGCCCGCCATCACGCCCAGCTTGTTTTTGTATTTTTAGTAGACATGGGGTTTCACCATGTTGGCCAGGCGGGTCTCGATCACCCGACCTCAGGTGATCCGCCCACTTTGGCCTCCCAAAGTGCTGGGATTAGAGGCGTGAGCCGCAGCGCCCTGCTGCAGGAGGCTTTGATGCCGGCCTGCCAGCCAGCTCCAGGAGTTGAGCGGGAGTGTGCAGGGAGAGCCACCTGGGTGGCCACGGCAGCAGCACCCGGGTGCCCCTCAGAGAGGAAGGCACCTCAGGCCCTGCTGATGCTCAGAGCCAGCTCCCATGCACCTCCCTCGTTAGCCCCTTGCTGTCCCTGCAGCTGGTGTGAAGTTCCGTGTCCTGGAGCATGAGGCCGGCAGGCCCCTCCGCCTCCTGATGCAGGTGAGGCCCCCTGTGGGGGGGAAGCCCCCAGGCTGCTGCCCCTGTTCTGGGACAGTGGGGTCAGTAGGGTGTGAGGTCTGGGTGGCACCACGCTGGCCTGCGATAAGCTACAGGGTGGGCTGAGGGGCAGGGCCCACCGGGGACCCCCACCCTCATACCCCGCAGGAGCCTGAGGATGCCAGTGTGGGCCTGTGGGTGGGGCCCGTTCTGCCCTGTGTTGGAGGCTCCCTTGCCTGCCTGGGGCTGCCCTGGGCCCCAGAGGGCTCAAGTTCTGGGTGGAACAGAACGGACTGAGTGAGTCCTGGGGTGAGGCGCGTGTCCCTGTGGAACAGCCCCTCGGAGCTGGATAGCCCCGGGGGACGCGCAGCTCCCGCCTCCATCTCGCCTCCCTCCAGCCTGCCCCTGCACACGGGAGCGGAGTGGGGGTGTCTGGCCCTGCAGCCCCAGCGCTCCCTTCCAGCTGCACACTCACCTGCCTCCCTGGGGGTTGGGGCAGGCTTGTCTCACAGGCGAGGGAATGTCTGGGACAGCGCTGGGCCTGCCTCGCCACCGTCCAGCCCAGGGACCCTGAGGGCCAGCCAGGCACACACTGCCAGCCCCCGCCCGCCCTCTGCAGACCGCGCCTTGTCCTTCCAGATAAACCCACTGCCCTACAGCCGCGTGGTGCACACCTACCGCCTCCCCAGCTGTGGCGGCCACCCCCAGCACTCCTGGGGCTCCCTGTGCCGCAGGCTGTTCTCCGGGGAGCTCATCTATCCCTGGGGGCAGAGATCGGACAGGCAGGACTGAGGCAGCCGGCTCGCCCAGCACCACCACACAGCCACCGTCAGCCCTCCCCTCTGCCAGGGTGGTGCCAACAGCCTGCAGTGGCAGCACGTGCCCCATGCTGCTGGGTGCTCCTGAACACAGGTCGGCCCTGCCCTCACAGCTCCAGCTTGTAGGTCACTGGGGGTGAGCAGAGGTAGGGTGGGCAGCACTGACTGGCTGGCTTGGGACCCACCTCCCGCCTGCTACGGTCACCATGCTGGTGAGCACAGCAGCCCCAGGTGTCCAGAGCACCCCCCATGCCCACCCTCCACACCCAGGTCCAGAGGCCCATTCACCACAGCAGCTCCCCGTGGAGGGGCTGGCTGGTCTCCCTGGGGGCTCCCCAATGGCTCTGCACTGGCTGGGGGGGTGGAGGGACCCTCCCAGGATGAACCCCCCAGTCCCAGGCACCTTGCAGCTCCCTCAGCCGAACAGCGTTCCCTGTCTGGGGGATAGAAGTAGCCACAGACCCCCGGCCCCAGCCCCAGCCCCAGCCCCAGCTGGCTGGGGTCCTTACTCCCTGAACCATGTGGGGTTTATCTGCTGATGCTCCCTGGAGAGGTCGCTTTGTGAAGGAGCCGTCAGCCAGCTGTGGGCATCGCCAGGCTGCTGTGGGGGTGGGAGCAGCCTCAGTGGAAGTGGAACGCCCGCCCACCGACCAGCCGTACCTGTACCTGCGAGGTACCCCGGCTGGATCTTGCTTGTCCCCTCACGGGCCTCCCAGGGAAGGAGAAAGCCCTACTGGGCAATGGCCTTCGGCTGTGAGCAGCCTGCAGGGTGGCCATGGCACCGAGGCCAAAAGTGCCTGCTGGATGGTCTGGGCGCAGGTGTTCCCTGCGGGCCCGAGTCCCCTTCGGGAGGGGAGCCTACAGGTGCTGGCTGGGCGGGGAGGGGGCAGCGCCCGCCTCGGCAGCACCAGGACTGCCTGGGACCCCCCTGGTGACCCAGCACCTGGGAAGCTGCCAGCTGCTGTGACAATAAAACCCGCGCATTGTGTTTGGAACGCAGGCTCGGCCCCTCCCCTCGCCATATGCGCTGTGGGTCCCGGGAAGCGCCAGGTGGGGGTGCGGACACTACTGGAGGTACTTGCCTCGCGCAGGTCCGCCCTGAGGAGTCTACACAGGCTTCCTGCTCCAGGCCCTGATGATGGGCCCTTGAGGACCTCGGTGGAGGCAGGTGGACCTGGGCCACCCACCCTGGGGTTGTGGCCTTGCCCCAACAGAGGGCTCTGGGGGCAGGGCGGAGGGCAGGGGTGCAGGCCTCCAGGGGTGGGGCAAGCAGCTGCTGCTGAGTCAGTGGGCTCCATGCAGGGTGAGGCCCTCATGGGTCCTGGCCCTGTAGCGCCTGCGTCTGCCACATCTGCTGAGAACTGTCTCTGTCGCCTGCAGTGCTGGGGGCCCACCAGGTTGGTCCCACAGCCCGTTCCCAGCCCCAAGTGACAGGCCTCCAACCTGGACTTCTGGGCAACCAGAGGCTGGACTCAGAGGCACCCAGGGCCCACCAGCCCCTATCTGTCCCCTGCAGCCCCCAGCTGCTCACCTGGCCTGGAACACCCCCACCTGTGTCCCTTGTCCCCCCCAGCTGCTCATCTTGCCCCCACACCCTCCACCTGTACCCCCCACTCCCCCTCTAGCTGCCTACTGAGCCCACCCCTGCACCTGTGCCTCCTACTTGCCCCCAGCTCCCCACTGGGTCGCCACCCCTCCTTCTGGGGCTTCCAACAGGTGAGGCCCTTGACACACCTCAGCCCACTGCTCTGATGGCCATGTCATGGGGCATGCCTGGCAGCTGTCACCCCCTGTGCTGGGCACTGGGCTGACTGCCTATCCCGAGGGCCAGCCAGGTTTGGCACCACAGCTGGCCAAGGGAACACTGTCACCCCAGCCACTTGCAGCCACCGAGAGAAGCTGCCTGTACCTCCCAGGTCAGTCTGTCCTCACTGCCCCTGGGGATGTCCCTCATCCCCTCCACCAGGGCTCTGGCCACCCCTGCCTCACTGACCAGACAGAGCCTTGGCCCGGAGCTTTTCCAAGGCCTACCAGGACCATTGATGGACCCTCAGGATACCCTAAGAAGCAGACATCTCCCCTTGCAGAGTTGGGGCCGTCCACAGAGAAGAGTCCTGTAGTACTTCACAGATTCCAACTTAAATACTGTGAGAATAACACAGAGTGCTCCCCAGCACCCCTCACCCACACCCCCTCACGAACCCTGGCCGCGTGTACTTTTTTTTTAAGACACGGTCTCACTCTGTTGCCCAGGCTGGAGTGCAGTGGCACGATCTCGGCTCACTGCAGCCTCAACCTCCCTGGGCTCAGGTGATTCTCCCACCTCAGCCTACCAAGTAGCTGGGATCACAGGGGCCTGCCACCACGCCCAGCTCATTTTTGCATTTTTAGTAGAGTTGGAGTTACACCGTGCTGGCCAGGCTGATCCCAGACTCTTGGGCTCAAGCCACCCACCTGCCTTGGCCTCCCAAAGTGCTGGGATTACAAGCGTGAGCCACTGCACCTGGCCAGCGCATTCTTTATGTTTTTCTGCACCATTTGAGTCAGCTGCCCATTTTGCCCCCAGGATTTGCAGCGTGCATTTCCTCAGAACAAGACCACCAGAGCAGTGCTCAAACCCAGGGCTAGTGCACGGATGTCCGCCCAAACCGCTGGCCCCATTCTAGTGTGTCCCATGAGTTATGGGCCAGTCTCCAAAGCCTCTGGTGCTTTAGGGATGGAGCCGGTTACTCAGGAGTAACCCTAGTTGGCTGTGCTGATGACCATCACGACAAGACTCCACTCATGCTTGTGGCAGCAGCAGCAGGGGACCACCTAGGGAGGCATGCCGTGCCCACCTGTTTATCCCAGGTGATGCCAACGTGACCACCTGGTCAAGGTCCCGCCCGAGGGGTTTTCCACTGCAAAGCCATGTTCCCTTGTCATTAGCAACTTGTCCACGGAGTCAGGACCATGTTGACGCTTTGTCCCTCACTGCCGTCATCCGCGGACACCGGTTCCACCGAGGTGTCGGGCTCTGTCCATTCATGGGATGTGAGGCCTCCCCTTGGCACCAGGCCAGTGCTGGGGGTCCCTGAGTAGCTGAAACTTTTGTAGCTACTCCCTAGACACAGAGCTTCAGGGGCGAAAGTTTGTCTGCCCCAGTGGGCAAGTGCCCACCCCTTAGCAGGACTTCGCAGACATCCCAGCGGCCACTGGGCACCCCAGGGGCAGGGTGGACACCCTAGACTGTTCCCTTTGCCCCCCAAGCCCCTCCACCTAATGGCCTGGCCCATCCCTGCCAAGGCCAGTGGGTATGGAGGGTGGCAGGTGGGGCTGTCAGGGCCTCTACCAGACATTGCTCAGGCCTCCAACATGGGCCTAGAATTATCCTTGACTGCCCAGCAAGTGGGTTCTGAGGTGGTCTCTTCCCGTACTCCACTGTCTTTGGCTGCCCTGCCCCTGGCCTGAGGTCCCTCAGCTGCAGGGATGGTGTCCTGTCCTTGGGGCCCAGGCCTGGTCTGGAACATGGTGGACCCCAGGACACCCTGTGGAAATGCACACAGCTACATGGGAGGCATGGCTCCTTGGTCCACAAGGCCTGGATACCAGAGGATGGCACCCTGTCTGTCCCTCCCTTCACTGGGCCTGCTGCCCCAGACCCCTCTGGGTTCCCTGTGAAGCTTTTCTGCTCTGAGGCTGCGAGGTCGAAGGGCATAGTAGCTTGCTGAGCCTCCCACCCTATGGAAAGGTTCCTGAACTCAAACCACAGGTCCCCACCTACAAAGTGCTGATGGTTGTGATGGCTCCGCAGGCTGTGTTGGGCAGGTCCCGTGGGAGAAGCCTGGCTCCCTCATCAGCCAGGGGATGGCCCCGTTCTTGTCCCAGGAGGTGGGAACCAGGCAGCAGTGGCCTGCAGCTGGGTCTGGAGAGTTTCTTTTTTTAAAAAAAGTTTATTTTTGTGAAGACCATGACAACCTTTTAATCTAGTTTATCTTTGAGCCACTTTTTTTTTTTTTTGAGACAAAGTCTTGCTCTGTAGCTCAGGCTGGAGTGCAATGGCATGATCTCAGCTCACTGTCACCTCCACCTTCTGGGTTCAAGTGATTCTTCTGCCTCAGCCTCCCAAGTAGCTGGGATTAGAAGCACGTACCACCATGCCTGGCTAATTTTTGTATTTTCAGTTGGAGAGGGGGTTTTATCACATTGGCCAGGCTGGTCTCAAACTCCCAACCTCAGGTGATCCACCAGTGGCTGGCCTCAGAGAGCGTTTCTGATTTATGTTCTCAGGAAAGGGGGAGACAGCTGCTCACCACCATCCCCAATTCCAGGTAGCCTTAGAAACCAAGGAGGAAATACATCTTTGGTGCTTCCAATCCCTAGATGGAGGGGCCTCAGGGACTTCACAGCGAGGGCTCCAGTCTGGGAACAGTTACCTCTGGGCAGGAGAGGCCCTCCCTGACCTGCCAGGTTGTGATTCGGGGTCAGTTAATGCCTGGGCAACTTAGCAAGACCCCATCTTTATAAAATATACAAAAGTTGGCTGGGCGTGGTGGCTCACGCCTGTAATCCCAACACTGGAGGGCCGAGGTGGGAGGATCACGAGGTCAAGAGATCAAGACCATCCTGGCCAACATGGTGAAACCGCGTCTCTACTAAAAACATAAAACTTAGCGGGGTGTAGTGGCAGGTGCCCGTAGTCCCAGCTACTTGGGAGGCTGAGGCGGAAGAATCGCTTGCACCTGGAAGGCCGAGGTTGCAGTGAGCCGAGATTGCGCCACTGCGCTCCAGCCTGATGACAGAACAACACCCGTTTCAAAAAAAAAAAAAAAAAAAAAAAGCTGAACATGGTGGTGCCTGTACTCCCAGGTACTCAGGAGGCTGAGGCTGGAGGATCGCTTGTGCCGGCGAGGCGGAGGCTGCAGTGAACCAGAGCGCACGCACTGCAGCCTGAGCGACAGAGTCCCTGTGGTGGCCGCTTAAGGCCGTGTCTTCAGCTTTTTTTTGGGGGGGGCAGGTCCCTGCGTGTGGAGCTCCCCGTCCTGGGGTCTCTGCGAACAGCACCTGCTCGCGGAGGCGCAGCGGGTCGGGGCCTGCTCCCCGCCGGCCGGGCACACGGGACGGGCTCCGCACCCGTCTGGAGAGGGCCGCGCCGGGTCGGCGCCGCGGGCTTACGGCTTCTCCGTCCTGCTGCAGCGGCGCTTCTGAGCGCAGAGCGCGGATCGCAAAGCTCCCCCGTTCCGAGCGCGGGAGCCACGTGTAGTAACTTGGCCGAGCGGCAGGCAGGGCCATCCCCAGGGCGGCAGGGCCATCCCCACGGCGGCAGGGCCATCCCCAGGGCGGCAGGGCCATCCCCACGGCGGCAGGGCGGCTTCGTGCCCCCCCAGCCCACGACTCCGCGCCGGGGCAGGCGGGGCAGCCGCTTCGCTCGCCCACGCACCTGCGGCTCCCGGGCGCGGCACGGCCGAGCGCTCCACGGCGCCCCCGGGAAGTGGGCTGTCCAGGCCCCGGGTCCCCGCCCGGGAGGCGCCGCTGCCGCGGTGAGCGCGTCGGGCCGGGTCCTGCGCTCGCGCCGGCCACCTCCCCGGGCGGAAGGCTCCGGATCGCCGACGCCGCGGCGTTCCAGAACCTCAGCGCCTTCACAGACGGGAGGGTGACCCGCGGGTCCGCCCCGCCGCCGCCGGGCGGAAGTCCCGCCCCGCGCCGCCCCGGAGAGGAAGCTCTGCCTCGCCCGGCGCCGATTGGCCGCCCCGCCGCCCCCTCCGAGGTCCCTGCGGAAGCAGGCGGCGCAGCCTGCGAGGGGCTTTCGTTTCCCGTACTCAGCCGCGTCGCCGCTGCCCGGGCGCGCCTGCATCCTGCAGCCCGTCCGCGCGGGGAAGGGGCGGATGCAAACAACCTGGACTTCCGAGCCTCCGATTGGCCAGCGTGTAGGAAAGGGGCGGGGTCACCAGAATCGTGATCGACGTGCAGTCGGCCCAATGGCGCCTGCGAGGGGGCGGGC